AGTAAATTCCTGGCTACGTCCCTGCCTGTCAACCTATACCACGGCTGAGAATAGATGGCGCAAGGGAGTTGCACTGGCATATCTTGACACTGCAATAAAGCCACCAGTGGACTGCATTTCCATTGAGAACGAGTGAAGATAAAAGTCAAGTATAGCAGACCATATTATTAGAATTCATGAAAGTACAGATTCAAGATATATATTCAATTCCTCCACAAAGGACGCATCAGATACATATCCGAGTAGAGGCAGTAAAATGAGTATGTTCGGCGAAGCTTTACAAAAGGAAAAACTTTTTGTTTCTAGTAAAATAAGTTGCTTATTTTGAAAGTAATTGACAATTTAGCCAATGTTTAGCCCCCATTATCGAAAAAACTTGTTTTCAACCACACATTCTCTCAAAAAATAATATTACCAGTAAATCGAAAAAATTTCCGTACTTTTTAACCACACATTCTCCAAAAAATCACTGTTCAAAAATACATTTCTTTTTTTCCAAAATAACATTTAAGCTATAAGTTTCCCAGCAACTCGTCACAAATACATAATTATTTTTCTTCCAGTCTAGGTTTCATTCTATTTTTTTTTTTTTCCAATTAATAGCTTATATCATTATTTTGTAATGCAAATACATCATTTCCTGAGTTTTATCTTTAGTTACTTTGCGGGCACTTCATGCTTTCGCTACTCAAGTATCAAAATTGTACTATACAACCCAGAAGTCTCCTGCATCATCAATAAAAATAGGATCTTTAAAGGGATCATTTGAAGACATGCATATAATCTATATTAGAGTAGCAATAGATCACAGTAAAAAATATAGTGGCACACAGACTTCCGTGCCTAGATGAGACCAGATTCGTTGCTCTTAAGTTGAATTACTAAAAAAACATAAGAGCATATATGCAGTAGTGCTCTTTATTTTAAAAAGCTTCCATTTTATAATTTATTCATTATTTTGCTATTTCACATAAGTAATTATTGTTCACAATTTTCCTCTTTTTTATTTTATCACTTTCCTCTTCTTTATTTTGTAAAAATCAAGGAAATGAATAGAAGATTCTACAATAATAAATGAATCATTGTATGACGAATGAATTTGGCTCTCTACATTTGGAAATTCAAATCCACTTTCTCTTTAATTTTGACAATAAAGAGTGTATTGAATAACTCAAAAAGAGATTTGACTCTTTAAAAAAAAATTAAAGGGTTAATTACGAACCTATTGAAGATGCTCTTACGAGAAAAGAAAACAACAGCCAAAAACTTGTGTATTCATCGTGCAAAACTTGTGCCTTGTGCAAAAACTAAAGTAATAAGAAAAATACAAAAAATGATTGTATGTGCAAAACTTGTGCAAAATAAATAAATAAATGATTATATTACAATTTTATCTTTGTGCAAAACTTGTGCAAAGAAAATAACTGCCAAATTTTGACCCTGTAAATTAGAAAAGAGATACTCAAAAGTTGAACGACAAACATGAAGTGCATGTTTAAAAGAAGTCAAGTCGCACATATCTGCAACACTGCACAGAAAGCATAGGTCAATGCTTGTACAAACAGATTTCTAGACGAGATCTTATTCATCATCTCTATCATACACAACTGCCATTCAACGACAGATCATAGTTTTCCTAGGAAACTAGTAATGTGCCTCAGATTCAACCCTTTCCCAGATTCCTCAACCTTCTACATTAGCCCCTGTTGAACAATTAATCAAAAAATAAGAAAGTTTGCGGATGATTTTAAGAAAAGAGAGGCAAATTCATCATCAAGACATCAAGAAAACAACTAGAGCATGATCGTGGAAGAAGCTATGTCAAGAAGCAATCTTAAAATTTATGTAAAAAAAAACACTCACAGTTTTATTGGAGATTAAAGAGTAAAAGAGCCATGCTACACGTATCAAATTTTTTTACCAAATCTTTTACACCCCACTCACATTAGGGGGTGGGGACCACGGGCCAACATTTTTTAAAACACATGGGACCCGCGCTTTTGTGAGGGGGGGTAAAAAATTTGGTACCCCCCCCCGCACACCAGCATTTTTCAAGAGTAAAAACTTTCAATACTGTCAATTATAAAGAGTAAAAAATTTCAAAAAAAAAAAAAAAGACTCACAGTAAGCGTTATTGATTTATGTCTAACATATTTTTCCTGTCATTTTTTTCTTACGAAATTGGTGAAATGTGTAGAATTTTCATATTAGTTAAGTTTGGAGCTAACAAATTCTTACTGATTCACACCACACAGCGCCTACTATGACATTTGTGATCTTGTGATGGAAATCATGCCATTTATATCCACCACCAGAAAGCAGACTTCAGATTTCACAACACAATCTGTTTACTTGTATTTTATTTTCTACTGTTGTGAACGTCTATCTTTGTTGAATTGCCCAATAGCCCTTTGGCACAAAAGTTGAACTCCATTGATGGAGAGATGCAAAGTCTCTTGACCGGTGGAGAATTGAGCTTATAGATGAATGCAAAAGAATTCATACAAAATTTAATTTGAAGCTCTAATTAAACATTATAATTAGCAGCAGATACAAATTTTGGTGGCTAGACTGCGATGACTAAATGTCAACATGTCGATGCGATGATACAAAAGCAACTACATTAACTCCAAAAGCAACAATTCATGCATTCTAGTTCGAATAAGTGGTTAACAGCAATACAAATAAAGCTACATAGACTCCAAAAGCTTCATCAATACATTCATCAACTACATCAACTCCAAAAGCATGATTACAAACAAACTGAACTACTAAAACGAAAGAGTTCACGAAGCTATTCGATCCCTTCTCTTTCCCTTTATCCTCCATAAATCCTTTTCCCTAGGCGAAAGTGATGTTGACGGATATCTCCACGTCTTCTTTTTCTGTGATTTGGTAAACGTGTTGAACATACACGACAGATCTTCAGTTGATTCTTTAGCCTTACCATGCCCCTGTTCTTCCCTACCATTGCACTTGAAAGAGGGAAAGATGGACACTGTAATCAGCAAAATAATAACGTCCGGCAACGCTAATTCAATAATTTCCTATCCTACTACGACTATCAGTTCATTTTCAGACTCCTCAAACTAAATTAAACAATGACCACCATATCATTTTCAGCATTCTCTAACAAGATGAATTAATGAAAATCACTTCATTTTCAGCATCCAATTTCAAAACGCTTAGAGGATGAACCCAAATTCAAAATTGAAAATTCATAAGGCTTTGAATGAGAAATTATTCAAACAACCTGAACGAACAAAATCTTACAATTCACGTTGATTTTGTGCAGCCAGCAAATTCGAACCAAATTTCGGTCGTTCAACAGAGTCAATTACATATTCTTCAAACTAGTAAATGAAAATTCAGGAGATTGCCTTCACAGTTCGCGGTTGGTTGGGATTCTGTGGTTTCCTCCTTCGCGTTTTAAACATTTTGGTAACGGGATGTGGGTTCGGCGTTTATGGGTCGAAAATCATCCACAGCTGGGGATGTGTACAATGGAAGACAAAGAACTTCAGTCAAGCAACTGTGTTCGATTTAAGGGTTTTGAATTGGGAGAAATTGAATTAAGGTTCGTGCGAGAGTGAATAAGGGAAATTGGTTTTCAATTTTGAATGGATTAAAGTCGTGTATTTCTAAAACGCGCATCCACCATGTATCACTTTTGACGCAGTCAAATGCCACATGGAATTCCGTGAAGCCAGATCAGACAATTTCAAACAGCTTTGAGATGAGTGATGAATGGAGAGACGCATTCGTAAGTTCAGTGACCATTCAGCAACAAAACAAAGTACAGTGACTATAACGTGACATTACACTAAGTTAAGTGATTAATGAAATTTTTTACTCAAGAATAAAGGCACAAATTCTGCACGGGCAATTTATGCCCACTCTGGGTGGATTGCCATTTATTTCCTAATGGCCTCCCACCAGGACTAGGCTCATCAACGGCATTTTGTAAGAAAAGAACTAACAACATTTTTAGGCATCAGAAACAACTTTTCCTATTCCTCGTTCCTGGTTAAGTTCAGGTTTGAAAAGCATTTTTACTGATTTGCAGTTTAAAGTACATTCTGTTGTGTAATGATGCAGTATTCAGGTGATGCCGTCAAAGAGCAAATTTCTATTGTTCAAAATGAGAAGACAGTCACATTCATAGAGCAATAAACGAACCTATTAAATAAAAAAAAGTCCTACTTCAGCAACAATATTCACATAGATATAAAAGAAGCATAGTAAACACTAGAACAGTGTATGTTTTAGAGTTTTGCTCAGAAAAACTGTGTAACAACAAGATAATCAATAATTTGTAAGAGACTGAAAGGAAATGTAGAGAAGAACTTTCTGGAACATTTCTTTGTCTTCTTACATGCATAATTCAGAAAAATCGTTGCTTACCTCAGCCTCCACTTCTGAATCTTCATAAGTCTCTTCCTCATTTCTGCTTTGTCTCCTTAGACCTTCTATGTGATGACAAACAACCATAGTTTTTCCTCTTACTTATCCTATCCACCATTTTCCGACTTCCAAGCAAGTCTACTGGACCTTGAGATGATTTGGCATCTGGCAACGCTAATTTCAGAGGACTTTCTGGTCCCTGAGATGAGAATTCAGTAGATGTTCCAATGAAACCACAACGGTATATTTTAACACACAGAATCTGAAAAGTGTCCCATTGGGTTAGGGGGTATGTAACATAAATGACTCGCCTTTTTTTCATTAAATGTGAAGAATGACGCTCCAGCTTCATTTTCTCTGTTTTCATTGAAGTGCTGTGCAGCAGACTGTTGTTCATGAAAATCTTGTTCATTATCCTGATTGAAATAAAATTGACAAAACTATAATTATTTTCATATAAAAAACAAGACTAATTATGGAAAAACAAATAGTCAATTTCCTTTCTATCATTTACTTACTTATTTATATGTTAGGAGACGTTGACAAATAAAAGTTAACCATAATTTATAGTTAGATACTCATGACCAAAATAAAACATGAAGTTGTCTCGAGATTATTGTCATACTTCCCGACATTTTTAAGCAAAGAAAATGAGACAACAAGACCTCACCATTAGATCCTTCAGCAAACCTGGTGGCGCTTGATGTTCCCGGTTGACAATTTGTGCACATTTGTGAATCCTTTTGCCCTTCTGACCAAGTCGTTTATTAGGTCGATTTGTCTGCTTCTCCATCTATGAAGTCATCAAAACAAGTCGATATGAATATTCACGTAAGTGTACCGACTTCGTGGCTAATTAGTTTTTTCTTACCTTCTTTTTGTTTTCCAACTCCCATTGAGAGATGACGTCAGCAGTGCAACTTTTGACTTTGACATTCTTATTTCTTGTTGCATCAAGAATAGCAGAGAATTGAGAATCAGATGACGGCAGAAAATGCAGTTTTTTTGAGATTCTCCCTTGTGATTGGAGAATTCCCTGCAATTTTTGCGTAGCAGACAAATTTCAAAGTTAAGATAATGAATATTGCAGCTGATAGAAACACAATCATCCAAGCTATTTCTTATACGATCATTATGACTATCACATCCATTTGAAGGAATCAAAGCCTTATCGATGCCAAAAATTTAACGCATGTCTTATGAAGGCTTAATAGGGTACATTTTTATGTCTCAGGAAAAGGTGCGCCTGATTTTCCCTTGTGTCTAGCTCAGACACCATAAACGCTTGTTCTCCAATTAACAATTGTAAGCTTCCATCTTCCCAAGTCACCAATCGCGCATTGCTCTCAACCTGCACATGCAGAATTATTTTGTAATAGTTGAAGAAAATGTCTAGAAGATGTGCAATTTACTGCAAATGCAACAAACACAGTCCAATCAGGCAATCTATGAGGACGAACTAATTTTGAAAATTCTATCGGTGTGAGAATAAAACTAGAGGTACTAGGTTTAATAGTCAAAATAAAAGTAACCATGAAATCAAAATCACCAGTGGTAATGGATAAAATTGATAACGTAATGTCAAGGTATTCCAAAATTAATCAATTTAAGTACAAATGGAGCCAAACTAAAATATTCTAGACCTTGGGTAACACCTATTGTCTCCACATTACTAAAAAATACCAAATACTGCATGTTATTTCTTCTAGTGGTCAAATTCAATACTTTCTCAAGATTTTATTATAGTAACTGTTGTTCTAAGTTGATCCTTTTGTTTCTCAATTGCTAAATTGCAAGCATGGTCCCCAATCTTCGATCCCGCATGTCCCCAATATTTTTCTGAAACCCCCAAACTTCCATTTTAGGCACATTTAGTCCCTAGCGACAGTTTACATAACTGGCATGAATAGACAAATTTGGCCTCAAGCTCGATAAATAGACTGTGTAAGTAGAAAAGGGGAAAAGAAAAACATCATCGACTTCTTCAAGACTTCACCCTCATCCCACTTCCACTGCAATGCATACCACCAGGCCTCCACCTGCAACACCATGCCTCTCTACGCCTCCTAAACAGAATCCCTCGCAGTCCCATCTCCCCTGAAATCACCGTGTCCAGGGCAATCAACTGAAGCCAGTCAAGATGGCCCTGCAATTGGTTCACTTAATTCCCAAAATGATCATGGGACTCTCAACTGGTTTTGTTCCCTTTCTTCCACAAAATATTCCAATATATGCAGTCATCATTGACACTGATGAGACTCTTGCATTAGCCATAAGAGAGATGGAAAAGCCCGCTCCTTAGTGAAGAACCAGAACCTCATGTTCCCTATTCCAATAATGGAGTGTTGCCGAATGGGAGGGCTGCGGGAGTCGAGGCTGAAGGTTGGCGGGGGGGACGGGTAGGTGGTTGTTTGGTGACGCAAGAGGTTTGCTGCTGGGGTATTGGGAGGCTGAAGGGTTGGCAAAGAATATTCCTTCTTTCCTTGTAACTTTTTGTATATCTAAAATTTGTCTTTTCACACCAGTTTAACGGTGGTTTCAGATGAAATCTTAAGGAACAAATGCATCTAAAGATGGAATCTTGAGGGTTTAAAAGCAAGAGAAAAGGTCGGAAACAAGAGTGCAGAAGGGGTGCAGGTTGGGGGTCGTGCATGAGGCCAGTTACAGTTTCATTTTCGGACAGATGGGGTTGTAAACACAAGTCTTTAACATAACTTTTAGGATTTCAATCAAATTGAGGTTCAAGGGCATCACACTCGTGTGGGAGACAGAGCACCAATCCATTATACCTCTCGCTTAAGCAATTAAGCCATTCCTGGGGATATGCTCCCTTCTTTATTAGTAGTAGTAGTAATACTTCAGTTAGAGGCACATTTCCATCCAGGTTCTCATGTCCGATTAGGTCACAGTCTAACAACTGAATATAACTTTTTTTTTTTAAGGGAAAACATCGACACAACCTCAGTAAGTTTTCAGGCTCCACCAAGAAAGGTTGACGGGAGTTAGGATGCCCCAACCGTAGGTTGATGGGGGTTAGCTAGACTTAAATATAGGCATGTAGTTAACTCTAAATTAGTAAACTAAACAAATTTTATATCAACGAGCCATTTCCTTTACTTCTTTTCTTTTTCTCTCCATTAGGTACTTTTCTCACCCTTGTTAAATGTTGACCAATATGGCTGTCTATTATCACTGATAAAGAAAAACAGAGATCATCGCCCATAGGAGCTCCATAATGTATTTCTCCCCATTGTTAAATGTTGACAAATTTGGCTATCTATTATCACTGATAAAGAAAAATAGAGATCCTCGCCCATAGGATCACGTGTGTGTGTGTGTTGGGAGGGGTGGGGGTGTACATATCATCCAAATACCTTATCACCAATACGTCTCCACCACCACCACCACCACAATAGTGAAATGATGGTTGCTATTAAGATCATACCATGTTTGTCAAACCACAAACTTGTGGTTGTTATTGGAGAATCCGTAATCAAGTCCTAATCTTAAGGGGTGATTTTTATGACTCAGGGCAAAGAGTGGACCCAGCCATGCTTCTAATATATATAAAAGAATTTTTTTTTCTATACATTGATATAGCATAATATCTAAATGCCTCGTGAGTCAATCCATCTGTACTTCTATGCCGATTGAACACAAAGCAAAAGGAAAATGAAGAGTTGAGTAGATAGTCATGGTAATGTCGTCATGTGTTAAATTGGTAGTTAAAATCCACAAATTTAACATACAGATGTTCTGCCATCAGGTTTTCTGACAGTCCTCCAGCGAACGATATTTTGGAGAGGGATATGTCTTTTATGTCCAGAATTGTCTGTCCCAAAAAAGTCCTGTTCAACATATGTGCTTGGATCAAATGGTTTGGGATCAATGGCCACTAAGTTGGAGAGTTTGAGCATATACATCTGCAACAATGAATATAAACAATAAATTTCTGAATATGTTAAAACATATGCAAAAAATTACACTTATATTATAAAGTGGTTCTTGAATCCAGCTATAGTCTAAAAGATATCAATTTATTTTATCTTAAGCCGTAGCAATTTGCATTAAAAAATTTCATTCTTCATTAAAACCCTCTCAAAAAATTTCTCAAGTCACAATAAAATTTTATAAGTACACCTTATATATAAGGGGTATAATTGCTCGCAGATGCTAGATACCATACTAGTGCCACCCCAAATTGAACATCTTACAATTTTTGCTAACAAAATAATGTATTTCCCATTTTACTTAGATCCCCTTCCACAAAGTGTTCATTAGGATTTTACGTTTATAAAGGAAAATCACCCAAAAAAAATCTCTATCAATCTCTCTATATTTGATTATTTGCATTTTTTCCACATTCCAGCTCCTCAACGCAGAGCGAGAGATCCTAAAAGGATCCACACTAATGTCTTTCCTCTATGGTCGTGTGCGAAGGATCCCCTCTCTCTCTCTCTCTCTCTCTCTCTCACACACACACACACACAAAGAAAATTGTATTTATTTGCACCACATCAATAAGAAATTGGTATATATTATATCAAAGAGTAAATGAATCCATTAATCTATCCGAAGCAGTCTCCATCCCATCGACACCGCCTACCCAACCCAACCCAAAATAAGAAAACAAATACAAACAAACAAAATCAAGATCCTAATCAAAACGGGACATGACATGCTATGTATACGTTAAAGATATGGAAAAAATATAAAGATTATTCTCCATAATATTTTCTCAATTGTGGTGGATTGTTTTCTTTAATGGTTGATTGTGTGATTATACACAATGTTTCCTTTTAGAGTTACTTGTAGCCCTATAAATAAGTTTTTCTACTTTGTAATAGGTACACAAGTTTATTATTTACAATATATAATATTATAACAGTATATAAACATGTCTCAATAATGTTGCAACCCGATATCTCTAGCATTTTCATCGGTAAGCAGCTTTTTGCTTCTTGGCACTTGTTTTGAGAGTCATCAGGAGGTGGACCAAATGAATGCCCATTTTTTGGCAGTACATAGTTGAGAATGTGATGATGTTGAATGGGAGAGAGACAAGACAAATAGAAGGGCACTGGATGGATAAGAAGATGAATGTGAATTCATGAAATTGATAATGAACCTTTAATTCAACTAAAATCGATTGTTTAAAGATCAAAATTATTAAATAGTAATGAGACCTACTAAAAACTCGCAAAAAAGTTTTCCGAAAATATTTAAAAGCTACCAAAAACCTATTCCCTCAGAAACAGAATAGTGATGACATCGGAAATCGGCAAAAAGGAAAATTCAATTCAATTCTCTTTTTGTTACAGTTATTTTTCTCCTAAGCATTAAAAAGGTTCGGTGAGTCAGGTGTTCAGTCTCAACGCACTTCAAGGCATAAGTCTCAATATAAATCTATAACATAATTTAAAAATTAACTGAAGTATGGAAATACACTGATAATAAACAATAAACTGTGAAAAAAAGTTCATACAAAACTTTTGAAAAATTAAAGAGTGATTGTATTCGAGAACAAGCGACCATAAAATGAGTAGTGGATAAGAGGATAGTATTTGCGGGCCCATTAGAATGTGTGGTTGAAAATGAAATTTGAACAATTTACAAATGATTAATAAATTTGCAGAACTGAGGCTAACATACAAGTTTAAATCAAGATTCAAAGGATAAAAAAGAACGTATGCCAAAGATTTACAGCTCTAGAAAAAAGACACGAGACAAACCTTATCTGGATCAGTCAAGGGACAAATACGAGGAATCTCTAACATCGGCGAAAGGGCAGTGGCCTTTTCCTTTCGTTCAGCATTTGCATATTCGTACAACACATCTTCATCAGGGACCCTAACTTCGGGGCTCCGTTCTTTCACATATTTTCCCTTGTCCAAGCGACGTCTCTACATTACGAGAAAATATGTAATAATAGTTTGCATTACATGCAAAATGTGACAATGAAATCACATAATCCAAAAAAAAATAAGCTATTTTAACTTCTTAAACAAACATTTACATTGTCATCATTCTGATTCTGAGCTATATGGTCTGCTTGTTCTGCTTTATCACAGTCCCCAAAAATATCACGAGTTACAATGGCTAAATGATGCTTATCGTATTTTGTGTTGTCATGTTCCTCGTTATCAGAGTCCTCAAAAATATCACGATTCACAGCAGCTAAATGTTGCTTATCATCTTTTGTGCCGCTATTTTCTTCATTATCGGAGTCCCCAAAAATATCACGAATGCCACATTGCTTAACATCTTTTATGTTGTCATGCTCTTCATTATCAGAGTCCCCGAAAATATCATGAAATATAGCAGCTAGACGTTGTTGCTTATCATCTTTTGTGCTGCCAAGTGATTTACGGCATGGGGAAAAACGATCACAATTCAAATCAATAACTGGAGAGATATAATGTATGAAATGATATAATGACGAATGTAGATTTAGCAATCACTAAATTGCCTCACTATTTATCAGTCTTTAAATGCTAGCAGTCTGTAGAATTAAATACATTTGAGTGTTAGATATGAATGAGGCATAGATTTTAGTACCATAAAGGAATCTTAACGTAAGAATTTGGTAGTGTTAACAAATGCTGGGGAACAGACAATAAAAGCTAACTCGCTTAGAGGAAATAAGAATTTGGTATTGCATGCAAATCAATGGACAATCAACATGAACCAGCAAGAAATGAAGTTTTCATTGTGGGATTTATATTCTCCTATCCTTTTCTTATCAAGTATCTCTCAAGCCATATATGTTTCCTTAATAGAAAATATGTTTCAATACACTATCACTATTTCTGAGGCCAGAAAAGAGTTGAATCAACCACTCAAGAAGTAGAAGACGACAAAAATGCAAGAACGGAAGGTGTTTTGCAGGAGCCGTAGGATGCCATCCCAGTACCTTCCTCCACTTTGATTGTGAATACAAATTTCTTGCGAACGCTGAATTTTCTCCCTGCACTCTGCATGAATACGATCAACAGCCTCTGGCACATCCTCACTTTCCTGTCCTGCCTTGCCTTCGACTTCAGCTTCGGGCACTCCATCTTCTTCATTCTGAAACGAAAATGGTCATACCATTTATAAGTTTGAAAATGGCAATGAGAACATAATGTGATTCAAATTCATAGGTCATATTATGTAATGTGCTCCGCTTGAAGCACGCAACCATGAAATCCAACAATCTAGCCTAACTTACATCATAAAGAGCAAAACTCTAGGTTTCTGCAAGAGAAATTCCAAAACCTATTGCCACTTACTGACCTTTAATAGAAATTCAAGGAAAAAAAAGATACTAATCAGACAAAAATTATGTTAAAGCTTGGTGATCAGACAGGATCCAGTATGTGAGCTTCATCCTTATCAAAGAAGCAATTTGATCTAATTCAGTTATTACTAACCGAGTAGATAACCATGATATCTTACTCTGTGCATGCATGACCTTGGCTGGAGTACGACATAATTTATCACATGCAAAGAAGCAATTTAATCTAATTCAGTTATTATGTAACCTAACCTAGTTGATAAATGTAATATCTTAATCCATGCATGCATGATTAGATAGGCTTCAATACTTGATGCTTCATCATATGCAGCGATGTTTAACATCACATCTGCACAACAATCGGCTACCTTCCACTCTGATAGAGGTTACCGCAACTAACAATGAGGTAAAAATGGCGTGCGGGTAGATTTCACTATAAACACAACAAATAATAGCAGAATGGATAATTATAACCTAGTCACATAAATGATTAAGTGATCAATCGTTCTATAGAGGAATTCGACAATTTTTTCCATTATGGTACAAAGATACAAAAATTTTCTGTTTTTTCCATTGCACTTCCCCAATACACTTACTTTTTTAATCCTATCTTATCCTTTTTGCAGAAACATATTTTGTTATCCATGTGCATTATTTTGTTAGGATATCATTTGAGTTCATCTTAGGTTTATCTCTAGTCTTACAGAACAGCCACTTTAAGTTTTTTTATATTGCAACTCGTAGCTTAATCATGCATGCCATGGACTATGATGAAGCAATTGCAATACTTGTGGCTGCATTACATCTCTCAATAAAAATTATGAAAATTTGAGATTAGGAATTCATTGGATTTATATTAAAACAATCTATGATATTTATTAACACTTAATAAAATCATTTTTAATTGCGAGATAAAATCAAATTGGTACATGAGCCTAAGCTCGAAACAGCATATGCACAATGCAGATGCTTTTATAGCATTCAACTCTAAAATTTTTACTAAGTTAAAATAATGTAAATTTTTTACACATAAACAGATGCAAACATACATATATTACAGAACCATGTACAAAGATATTCATGCTTAGATTTTATAAAAAATTTAGGGATGAGCAATGTTTAAAAAGGTGTAATCAAATACTGAGGTAATTTTCCTTTGTGAGGCAATGTGTACATCTTGAGGCATTTGAGGCATAAGCCGCATCGCAAACCAAAACAATGTCAAAAAATTATTAAAATACAAAATTATCACATAATAAATCATAAACACTCTTCAAAATTCATAATAAAACAATTTAAAATGTGCAAACAAAACAAAAGAAAAATATATAATGTAACAAAAAAGAAATTATAACTCCTCCAATGCACTCGCGTTGATATTTTGTCAATTATGCAGTGAATTCCTGGTTTTGATCAACTTTAACAACCAAAAAAATAAACAAATGATATATTTTCCCTTCAACACAAAACTCCTCCAATGCACATTGCACACGCGTGCATGCATGCACAAAAAAAATTGATAGGACAAATTTGGAGTTCTTAGAAAGGGAAAAACTTTAAAAATTGGGATTTCTTGAAAAACTGGCATAACTAGATCTGAGTTAGCAAAGTTTATTTGGACATGAAAAAAAAAATGTAAATCAATATCTATACACTTGCAAAGATAGGTTGGGGATTGGGTTCCTCCTCATTTTCGTCAGACTGGTAACCAAACAGGTCAAGCATGATCTGTTTCTTTATCTCTTCTGGCACCATTTTCTCTTGTTCTTGATTGCTCTGTGTATGTGTTGTGTATATCTTGAAGGCGCTTTGTGGAAGTGTGTGAGGTGTGCTGTAGATGAGTGTTCTAATTTGAACTTAGCTGAGATGTGTCTTTGTACGTGTCAATGTGAATGGACACGTGTGTATCGTGCTGTCATCATAGAAAACTCCGTCCAAAAGAGAAGTTTCATTGGAGCGGTGAGTGTGAGTGTGAGTGTGAGAGTGGGTGGGTGTGCTTAGTTGTCATCATAAATAAAACTGATCCTAGAGAATCTTATTCATTTTAGAGTTGAGCCTGTGGATGTGATTGGAATGTGAGTAGCTATTTGTGTGAGCTATCTTGTAATCATAAAACTCTCTTTGTGGAAGAGAATCTTATTTAGGAGTAATAAATGTGGGCCTGATTAATGTAATACCCTTTCGGATTGCTACAATCTTATTCAAGAGTAATAAACGTACCTAATTAATGTAATTGCCTTTGAGATTGTTTCAGTCTTTAACCCTGACCGAATCTCATTAATGTATGTCCTTATGTCAGATAAGTCCTATGACTGCTAATCGCGGCTAAAATGACATAGATTCCCACCAGCAATCACCACACCATCTCACCATACATTCCTTCATTAAACCACCATTGCCCGCCCCCATGCACACCTTCAATCATCACCTAAGGAAACCTATGTTGTTCGTTGCGTGTTTCGTTATATTTTATTACAATTATCCATTACCACCCTCAAGTGAGCTTGGTATGTATAGTATGAGGTTGATTACTTATTTAATTAACAAGATTGATTATCTTTGTTAGAGCTTTAAATGGTGATTAGCCCAAACTTTGGAAAATAAGATTGAGGCAAATATAAAATAAAGAAATTCATCACAAATGTAAAATATTTTTCTTTCTTTAATGTGAGAGCAAAGAAAATAATCTGACCAACTTCTTGTTCAGGACAAGATAGGAGACTAGTCAGATAAGGAGAACGAAAGTAAAGAGGAGGTGAGAATGGATCCTGCATAGAGATGGCAGAGTTCAACATCGTAGAGTCTCTAATCTAGCAATTGACCGCAATGACTTTATAGCAGATAACTCTGAGCAGGGATGTAAGTAAAGAAACAAAACGTCTGCAGAATGAGCTAATGGCTAAGACTTGCTCAATGGCAACCAGAAAATATGGCTAAATTATTCAAGGATGAGGTTGGTCAAATCAATCTATGAAGCAGCTGCCTCACACTAGCCAGTCTGCTCTTTACCACGATTGTCTTCAATCCTGCCCATCTGTTCAGTTCTAAGCCAACCCTTAACTATTTATCGGCAGCCCAAATTTCGCCATATAGTTAGGTGGCTTCCTTAAACTGCTAAAGATTTCAGTTTTAATTCAGGAAGCATTAAGCGTGGAGTAGCATTTGTCTCAGGTTCATAGATTCTATGGCAAAATTTGACGAGACAGTAACGAATAATCCCAAGAACTTGGAGAATAGGGATCAGTTGCCAAAAAGGCGGTATGGAGGGAAGATACTGTTTCATCAATGAATGTTTATCTGCATTGTCTTAGTATTCATTAATAATTCAAATCAAACTCTACACCATAACAACACCAAGATGTCCTCATTCTGTCGCCCTTGAGCTAACTTTATTTTTGGTGAATATTAATAATCTCTCTTTCTTGTCTGTTAATAGTCTATTTGCTTACTCATACAATTGTGAAAAAAAAAGGGGGGATCTTGCACCACGGGCATTACTTTCTAAACCAAACTGTTTAGTAGGGAGTTACACATCTTTTACATCCACACTCAGAATTCTATTGACCATATTAATAAAACTGTACAACACAAACTAGTAAAAATACATCCTGCAATTCAACATTGACGAGATTATTCCTTGGTCGAATTCAGTTATAGCAAAAACAACAAATTAAATACAAAAGTGAAACAAGAAATATAATCAAACATTATCACAATCATTAAAGTGAGAAAGAAAACGATAAATAAATAAAATTAGCGCGTAAAAAGCAATCGTACCTTGTGGTAAATGAAAGAACAGAAGAATGGATAGTGGGTTTTAGGCTCTGATAAATGCGATTGTTTGTGTTAATTTTGAACGCAATAATAATTATAGCAGAGGAAGTGTAAATTTTAATTTTTTATTGGATTAAAATAGTTTTGTATTATTTCACGAAAAATGTAAGTTGCATTTGAAAGTAGGAATAAGAGCGAGTGAACGTGCTTCAGAATTAATACCAATGAGTATATATGTGGTAATGAATGTTAAATTATTTATATTAAATTGATATAACTTAGTTTTCAATTAAGTGAAACTTGATTCCAATTTGTCATATATGGACGTAAATAATGAACTGTATCATTGAATTTGAAATTCCAATTAATATTAATTAAATGAATGTTAATTAATTGAAAATTAATAATATGGATATTGACGTGAATGTGAAAGTGAAATTCTAATGAATGTGCATATTAATTAATTGAGAATTAATTATAGTATTTATTACAGTTTATAAATTAAATACACATTGAAAAACGAAAAATAAGATATTATTGAAATAATTGAATTTGTAGTAGGGCTATAATCGTCTAAAAAATGATTCTCGCGTATAATTTAATTTTCAATTAAGTGAAACTTGATGCTAATTAGCACACATGTATTTAAATAATAAACTACGTCATTGAATTTGAAATTCTAATTAATATTAATTAAATGAATGTTAATGTTAATTAATTGAGAATTAATTATAATATTTATTACAGGTTATAAATTAAATATATATTGAAAAACGAAAAATAAGATATTATTAAAATAATTGAATTAAAGTAGGATTATAATCGTCCAAAAATAATTCTCATTTGATGTGATATTTAATATACTAGTTACAGCTAAACGTGCGTTGCACGTTATTTTGAAATGCTTTATAAACGATGTAAAAATAATATTTGAAAATCGGTGATATAAAAAATAGCTAAAAAACTGTTTATGTGAAATGAATGAACTTTTTTATACAATTCAATAACAACAATTAACATTAATTTATATATATGTCATACTATAATTCAATCAATTAATTCATCAAGTTCATGCATCTACACTCTATATATTTTGAGAGCTGTTCAATTACTCCAAAAATACTACAATTCAATTATTTATGCATGTGCATGTATACTAATTAACATTTATTTACGGATATATTAAATATAACATTAAGTCATCAAGTTCGTGTACACATGTTTTAGAAGCTATTCAATTATTCTAGGAGTAAAAAATTATTCAAATTCATGAACACGTTTTGATTTTCAAGATTATTCATAAAAAATTATTCAAATTCATGAACACGTTTTTATTTTCAAGATTATTCATTTTATCATAAATTATTATAGGAGTATGTAAATTATTAAAAATCATATAATTTGGGTGTTATTCAATTATTATAGGAGAAGAGAAATTATTTAAATTCATGTACACTTATTTAATTGCAATAATATTCATTAAATCTATGATATAATGTCATTTGTCTAAATGTATATAAATTATTTTTTTCTATATTCATTGATTCAAATTAATTAAATTCCATATTGGTTCATGTGCATCCCATTTAAACAATACCCATCTGAGCATCCTTGGCTCGTACCTGATTGTCTTCCTCCCAGCGTCGTTGCTTGCTGTGGGAACGAATATATTACCTGTTGGGAAATTATTTAATTTGACATGATGGGCCGACATATGCAATTAACTGTATATAAATGTTATCTTAAAGTTAAATTAAGTTATCAAGTTCATGTACACATATTTTAGGAGCTACTCAATTATTCTAGGAGTAAAAAAATTATTCAAATTCATGAACACGTTTTTATTTTCAAAATTATTCATTTTATCATAAATTATTATAAGAATATGTAAATTATTAAAAATCATATAATTTGGGTGTTATTCAATTATTAAAGGAGAAGAGAAATTATTTAAGTTCATGTACACTTATTTAATTGCAATAATATTCATTAAATCTATGATATAATGTCATTTGTCTAAATGTATATAAATTATTTTTTTCTATATTCATTGATTCAAATTAATTAAATTTCATATTGGTTCATGTACATCCCATTTAAACAATGCCCATATGAGCATCCTTGGCTCGTACCTGATTGTCTTCCTCCCAGCGTCGTTGCTTGCTGTGGGAACGACCGAACAAATATATTACCTGTTGGGAAATTATTTAATTTGCCATGATGGGCCGACATATATAATTAACTGTGTATAAATGTTATCTTAAAGTTAAGCCCAAAAATTAAAGTAATTTAATAAGGAATTAAGTAATTTGGCTTTAAGCATCTAATTAAAGTGTGTGACGGACTATATGTGTAGAGACCAGATCCATTAGGACATATGGAAATATATAAAGGGTTATGGTCTCCAATTCATATGTGATTTTCTCATTCTTTGCGGCATCCCATCAACACAAGAATACAAGAGAAAGCACATGAAGATCTTGACAAGTTCATAAACTTTAGGTTTTTAATAAAATTACAACATTACCAACCAAAACCGGGAAGGGCAAACTCTGGAGGGGCTTCTAGGTTTCACCTACACTACGGTTTCACAAGATTTAACATTTTTTGTTCAACCGAGTTCCTGAGCACGAGGGAATACACTTTCAACAATTTCCCAAGACCAACTTGTCTACGTATTCAACGCCTCCCCCAATTGCTTGAGCTACGACATCCGCAAGCATCTAAAATGTCCTATAATTCGAGCATGCAAACTCAACTTCGACCATGGAAACTTACAGTAACAAGTTATTAACTTCATTATCATTTTTAACGCATCGCGTCAAGTAAAAGCAATAAGTGCATGCTTTAAAAGTGTGCTTCCCTTTCCGGTTATGAAATTGGAAGAAAATGCACAGTAATGCATTACAGAAGAAAGAGAAACAATAAATAAAGATTCTAGGCACTCTTCAAATGATCAGGCTGTTTATAACTCTTTTATACCATTTAGTTAAAGTGGACAACTTAAAGAACAATTCTGTAGGCCATAGTCTGCATATTTAGGTTTCAAGAACTACTTAATGAGCTAAATTTGAGAACCCATTTTGTCTCAGGATGCAAAGGTTTACACAGAAGGGAAATATTTGTTGAGATTGAAGGGAAGAGAATAAAATTCCTCGCTTCTTGAGTCGGTTTTATATGAGCGAAATTTATCCCACCAATGCTTGCCTCTGTCTTTCCTTATTTGGCCGTCCTTCTTGTGTAGCGTATTGTCGAGGAAATACGCTAATATACCCGCCACAAAAGCTTCGGACGAGAAAGGGACATTGATTATATCGTTGAACTGATTGGGCAACAAAAAACCATAAGAATATGTAAGCCTAACATTATTTTGTATGAATTTCAAATCTAAAAGAAAATCACAAGTTCGGTTCTCTTTAAGAGTGTACCCATCTCCCCGAGGAATGGACAGGACCATAGCCATTAATAGCAGTGTACTCGTTGAAGTACTGTGGCACGGACAAGCCCATAAAAAGGGAAAATCCTAATATGAATTTGGTCCGGAAGCTATTGAGATTGCAGAACTGAAGAAAACTTATACCAGCCGAACCTGAATGTCACAGAATACAAAGTAACTTAATGATAATGTGAACCATTTATCAAGAATATTCGATGATTCTCAGATTATATAGACATACCCACATAGGCAAAGAAGAGGCAGTATAAAGCAGCTACAATTGGTGCTGGAATGGAAGCAAAAACTGCTCCAAATTTTCCTGCACAAATTGGATAATTTAGTTATGTTGATCTATCTTGTTTTAAGATTTTTAGCTGTTGTAGAGGAAACGCATAAATTATTTTAAGAGTCCGGTTGATGTAGATTTTTGAGAATAGATTTTGTGAGAAATTTTTTTTGGAGAATATGTGGTCAAAAAGTAGAGAAAAGTTATAGGTCCATGTACAAAATTACTTTATTGGAAGAATATGATTGAAAATTAGTTTGGAGAAAAGTGAGTTTTTAAGAATCTCGTCCAAACAAGGCTAAAGTTCATCTCCAACTTCCCCCATCACATGCGGCCGAATTCTTTATGTTTTGAAGTGAAGCCTGACCACGTGCTCAAATTTATACAAATGTCAAACCACCTCATATGACGAAGAGGTCACAAGTTTATTTTTTTAGGTTTTGCTTGAACAAATAAAGATTAATCCCCACGGATCAGCAAGCATTCAAAATACAAAACAGTTTACCAAGAATGGAAAAGAAGATCATGAATCCAGCAGAAATCTGCACAACTCTTCGACTGCCAACACGCGTCAGTGCTAAAAGGCCAACATTTTCACTGTTTATAAGCCAAGAAAAGCAGTTACGTTATAAGGAGATCAATTGCAAGATTAACACACTCAAGAAAAATAAGGTCTTACATAGACACAGATGATCCATTCCCAGTTCCATACAACCCTGATAATAAGATACCAACACCCTGCAATATAAATGAAAGTTATTCACCAAGAATCTGGCATTCAATGGTTTCTAAAAAGTATAACTAAGACTTACTCTAATTTTGCAAGAAAATTCTAAAAAATGGTGAATGGTGACCATTCCACATTATATGTTCCGTTGCTAATGTATAAACTTAAGACCTTTAGAGCTAAATTCATATCTTCCTCTAATTTCAAAGGAGAAGCCGTGGGTTCATGTGGATGGTTATAAAGCAAATAAAGAAATAACAATGCTTGGCAAAAGGGCACTTTATTATTACTGGCTATGTGAACTTGGTCAAGTTAGTCATCAAGCTTAGAAGCCTTTCATAATATTTAGTCTAAGAACATAAGTCTTTCATTTATGATCACATCTATAAGGTGCTGTGCAATTGTAAATTTGTCGTTTGATGTTTACCGCATTCCTAGCATGTTTGATACACAGTATAAGACGGGATTGAAGAGTATAATAAACAAGATTCACTTCTTTTTTTCCTTAACATAGTGCACTAATATCCAATCCTCTCCACCAGAGATGCCATTGGCATCTAAAGAAGATGATCGAGATATGACCTATGCAAATGACAGAATTCTTGTAGAAGTCTCGGTTTTGTCTTCAATTTCTTCTGTATTGTACTTTTTTCTTTTCTTTTCCCTTTTCTTTTTTTTTTTAATGGCGGCAAGGGGGTTGCACTGGCATATCTTGACGCTGCAATAAAGCCACCAGTGGACTGCATTTCCATTGAGAACAAGTGAAGATAAAAGTTAAGTATAACAGACCATATTATTAGAATTCATGGAAGTACAGATTCAAGGCAAGATATATATTCAATTCCTCCACAAAGGACGCATCAGATACATATCCGAGTAGAGGCATTAAAATGAGCATGTTCGGCTAAGCTTTAAAAATGGAAAAACTTTTTGTTTCTAGTCTAGTAAAATAAGTTGTTTATTTCGAAAGTAATTGACAATTTAGCCAATATTTAGCCCCCATTATCTCAAAAACTCATTTTTTTTAAAACTTATTTTCAACCACATTCTCCCATGAAATAATATTACCTGTAAATCGAAAACTTTTCCTTACTTTTTAACCACACATTCTCCAAAAAATCACTATTCAAAAATACATTTCTTTTTTCCAAAATAACATTTTAATGGAGCCCAAACAAGGGCTTAGTGTTACATTAATTACCTATTTATTTCCAACTTTGATACCAAAAAGAAAAAAAGATATATTTTGAAACTTATTTACTTATAAGCAAACCTTTTAAACTTTGCATAGACAAAGTGGTAAGCAGGAGACTTTTGAAACATTCATCTAGTATAGCGCACAAATGGTTCGAGCGTGTATAATGCATGAAGGAGCAGTACTAGTTCAAGTGGGAAGAATGAAAGAAACAAAGGAATATAAAGAGGAGAAGATGATAAGACAGAAACAAAGGAAGGGAGAGAGAGAGAGAGGGAGGGAGAGGAAAATACCAAATGACACAGTTATCACTACACAGAAAGAAAGAGACGAAAGCATACCTCCACAAGAGCAACAAATGCAGCCATCATCATGGCAAAGGCTTCACCAGCGTCAAAGGAAGGCCCTCCCCATTGAAATGGGTATGGAACTCTTATCCTGCATATGCAACCCCCAAAAACCATTAGAACTGTCATAGCCCATTTGTCGTTATGTAAAAACAAGTCATGTTCTCAGTGTATTTAGCATATGGAATATTTTACTTTTGGCTTAGCAAAAACCCTACTACATTCGTTACATCAACTAAAATATAAGGCACACTGGACCAATGGTATCACCACACAATAGATTAGTCATTTCACGGTGGCATCATCAAATGAGCTGTATGATACATGGATACATGGGACTGGAGAACTGAGGATCTATTTATTTTTATCAACTTATTTTTGTCATGTTTCATTTTTATTGAGTCGTTTATCTCCACCCAGCTGAAGATCTGACTGCTTACTTATTGTCTATCCTAATAAAATGCCCCTAATTCTGTAAATATCTATAGTAATAACAGGTCAGGTGGAAAATTCATTAATGGCACGTTTGGTAATATGGTTTAGATATTACCGAACAATATTAAGGAATAAAATAAAAGGCCAAATTTGTTCTGTCCAGTTCAATCTAATACTTATGAGCACACTAAATGAAGGGTTAAGGTTCATAAAGCACGAAAACCTCAGAGCAATTTTTAACATGTTTCATTGTTTCCTTTTTGGAATAAATAAATAATAGATCACGTAAGAAAAGGCATGCAAGTTTATTGAGAAGGCAAGAAAGCAGGCACTAACAGAAGTGGAAATATTTTTCGCACACATAATGACAAATGTTAGGCCAGCCCCAGTCCCTCCACCTCAACAACCCTACATGTAGTGGATCTACACGAATGATGCCCATAAAAGAATTAAACTTTGAATGAAAGCATCTTAAATCATCCTAGAGAACAGTGCTCGTCGGTACATTATTAAGTTGACAAGGTATAGAGAAACCAATTGAATGATTACCATAATTAAGGGGGGCAAAGCACAGCTTACCATGGAGCACCTTTAATAAGTCCAGCACGATCAGTCCTGCAGCTTGCTTGGGTCTTCGGCGCCTTGTTGTCATAGGCCCCACCAACAGTAAGTAGATATGCATAAATCCACACAATTACTACCGAGAATATAACAGCAAAACGGTCAAAGATATGCTTTCCTCGGTGTATAAATTGGGCCAAATACTGCAATAAAAGGCAAATTAATTCCATCGTGTTAGTTGGAATCATGGTGCATAAGATGGGACAAATACTGCAATGACAAAATTAATTCTATCTTGATTACTGTGATTCCACAATTGCATGAAGCATAAATTACTCTCAACTTTAAAAGCGCTAGATATTAATGAGGTGATCTTTATAGAAAAGGGTGTACATATCAAAGTGCAATCAAGAATATTACCTGAGAACAGAAAATTAGAATGATGAGCTGCGGCAATCCAATTTCAACACATTTGGCAACCTAACAGCCATGGGAAAAGAACAAATAAAGATCAATTGTTTAACAAACAAGTATAGGCAAGTGCACATATATTGGTGAAGGGTGTAGAGAGAGAAACATCAATAAACACTTATGCATACCCCAGGAAAACCGAATTCATAGAGCCCAAAACCAGCAAGAGCAACCAAGGGAACAGCCGAAAGTGGAGTCAGAAACCTGCATTGCATAAAAAATGACCGACTCTTATTAACTGAAAAATGAGAACTGCTTACAAATGTTATCTACAAGAAAGTTGGGGGGTTTTATGCGTAAACTGCCCCGATGTGGTACAAACATCTTGTTAAGTATAAATGTCTAGTAAAGGCAATTGCAGGATTGCATTCTATGTACTTTTTTCCCGCTTTGGTCTCTTCCCTATTTATGTGTCTTTTTAAGTCCCTCCCCCTTGGATGAGGAAGAGCTTGTCCTCGTGTCTCTTAGTCTATTGTTGCATACGGGAGAACTCCTAGGTCAGCTAGATGCGAGGCTGTAACATCACTTTTGGACAGAAAACCCTTTCAGAAAAAGACCAAAGTAGCATTGAACCCTAAATTCTATGATTTTATAACTTAAACAGGTTGAGCTACTCACAGCTCAGACATTTTGTGCTTGCTACGAAAGAGGAAAAAAGTTTAACTTGGAAATGTCAAAAAATAAAATAAAATTACTCCCTCTGTCCCATAAATATAGGCTTACTTTCCTTTTTCGTTTGTCCTATCTCAAATTATATGTCCCAAATTAGAGGTCATTTTCCTTGTTGAAAATAGAGATGATTTTATGGTTTTCTAATACCCTATTTAATGTACTTTGTTATCAACAAATATGAACTACTGCTATTTAAACCATTATTTAATGTAGGGGTATATAAGGAAAAATGTGAGAAAAAATTATATTTTCAACTATATTAATTATATTTTCTTAATCTGTATTAAAACGGAAGCAAGGCTAATTTTTTGGGACAGAGAGAGCAACAAAAGATTGCCAAACGGTCTGCAAACAAAAAGTGCATTAGATAATGGGGCATATAAGTCCAATACAGCTAGATTACTAATAGACATCCCAATCTTTTTAGTCTAAAATTTAGAAGCATTTATGTGACTCCAAAACATAAAACAAACCTTGTGATGTTACGCCAAAGACCGCTGAAACCTAGGACTATTTGAATAGTCGAGGCAACAATAAGTGCACCCTGGGTGGCTCGCATTATCTTCTTGAATCTCTGCATGGGAATTAAAAAATCTAACACCTATTACAACCGAGAGTTCAACAAGAGTAACTTGGGTATTTATGTGTCATTTTCTTGTTCAATTGTTCTCATCATAATAGCATCAAGTAAAGTGAGGTAGTAGCATATGACAAATCCTCAACAGAGCCTTGTTTGACCCATAATCTGGAACTTATTAGCCTGGCCAACTTTCTTATTTTCAACTCACCCGAAAATAAAACAGCAGCATTTATTAGTTTTAGCATTTGGCTAGAAAAACACTAGAATAAATTATATAAAACTACAGAGTTCTAAGTTTATGTATAACTATCAGTCAATCACTAGGCCTCAAAACTCAATGCCACTTATAAGGACAGATGCGATGGGAATAGGGTTTGGATCACAAACCGATATAGGGTCTGGGTCACTCCATCGACCAGACAAGATAATTGATATCGTGGGCGCCACAAAGGTGTACGACCCTCCAATCACGACAGGTAATCGGGTCCCAAAGCATGTCTGCAGCAAGGTGTTAACACCAGCAACAAAGAGCAAAGTCTGAATAACTTTTGCTTTCTCCTCCTATAAGAAAGGCAAGTGTTTAATTTCTGTTATCTGGTGAATACCAAATTAGCCAAGTTGGCATTAGAAAGAATTTAACTGAATATTAGAAATTTAATGGCTTACATTTCCTCCACCCATTTGAGGAACCAGAGCAGTAGGTATGATAACAGTTGTGCCCAGCATCACCAAGTAATGTTGAAACCCCAGAAGGATGGCCTCAGCTGCAATAAAAAAATCCTGAGACTGTCAAATAATCAGTCAAAACCCATTGAATACATAGGAAAGATGCAATTAAACTTCAATTATACACACGTGCACAAATTACAAAAGTTTTTTATAATCTTCAACAAACCTAAATAGTAGCTCCATGTAATAAAAGAACAGACACACCTCTTTAGTTACTACCAATCTATAAGAAATCGTAGGTCCCAAATTAGCCAAGGAAAGCATATTTAAAGAATTTGACATCATATACAATCATGATACATACAAAATGCACATGACATTGCTCTCCATTTCTCAATAGATTTCGATCGATACACGCAGGAAATAGGCAAAATCGCTACCACTTTCTGCCTAAACTAAAAAAAGTATTAGACAAAAAGAATATAAGTATATACACGACGGAAAAAAAGCCAGAAGATCAAAACCAAAATTGGCTTCCAGCCCACCAAAAAAAGGGAGAGGGGTGAGGGGTGGGTGTGGGTGGGGGGGGGGGGGGGGGGGGG